AAGAAAACATAAAAATATTCTTCGATTACCGTACTTAAATAGTTTTTCAGATGGTTATGAACATGTGTATTTGTCCTCAAATTTTTTTTATTATAGGGCACCGTTACACCGGGTAACAGTTATTATATTCTTAGGCTATTTAGGGTTTTTAAGTATGATAGATGATATCGATGTTCAATAGTTATCGAAGATGTCATGTTTAAGAAAAGAGATGGATATTTTGACAAGTTAGAATGTCCAGAAATACGTAAGAACAAAAAATGTACAGTTCTCAATTGCATATTTAACCATGACTTTAAGTTGAAAGAAGTCAATCCTAAGAAAAGGTCACTAGAGGGTGACGAATTACCCAAACTGGTTAAGAAACTTGATCAATCAGATAAACCTAAAGTGAAAGTAGAAAAAGCACAAGATACGTCCTATACTATTCCCAAAGCTATAAATCATTTGCAAATATCCAGATCAGATAGGACAATTAATGTGAAAAAGATTGCTAAATACTATCTTGGCTTAAATCATGATACACCAAATAAAGATGCAATCGAAAAAGAATATGAGATGGCAGATAGAAGTAATAACTTAGAGCAATATAAAGCCTTTGTTACCAATCTATTAGAAGAAAACAAAGAAACAAAGGTTGAAGAGCCAAAATTTATATTGCCAAAAGAGATCAAGCTGGCTGCACCAGCAACAATTCAAGTAAGGAAAAAATTTATCCAAATCATGGTTGATACATTGAAAAAGAATGATCCCAATATTCCAACACCAATATTAAAAGCCACAGAGGAAGAATTTAAAGTGGCCACTGAGTGCACACCAAATACTTATTCACAATCGATTAAGAGTAAAATTTATGAATTGAATAATCCTGAGAAATTTGAAAATAAGAAAAAAAAGCTTACCGATTCAGAATATCTTACAAAGTTAGAGGAATTAGTCATACCACGAGAAACACTCATCAAATTTGGATATATCATGAATATTCCTGATTCAATAGTACCGGACAATGTCAGAACATGTAGAAGATGCAACAATGAATTCAAACTACAAGAGCAGCTCAAACCTATACAATGCCATTATCACTCGGGAAAAGTAATTAAGAAGGACGCATTCAATAAAATATACGAATGCTGTGGAGGTGTCGTTGGCGGCGAGACAGATAGCTGCGAAGTGTCAGAGCATCATGTCTTTTATTGGAATAGCCCTGGAGAAATGCAATACGCTTTGCCATTTCATATGACAAGTGAATTATTTGGTATAAATAGTCAAAGTTTTAAAGTTGTCGGCATTGATTGTGAAATGGGGTTTACTACTAGAGGGTTTGAATTATTGAGAATTACAGCTGTCGATTTTTTCAGTGGCGAGGATATTATTGATATTCTAGTCAGGCCAAAGGGTGAGGTTATTGATCTTAATACAAAGTGGTCTGGAATTGCAGAGATTAAGGAAGAGGCAATGAATTTTGAGGATCTGATTCGACTTTTAGGTGAAGTTATTGATTCTAATACTATCCTAATTGGTCACGGACTTGAAAATGATATGAATTCTATGAGACTTATACACGAGAGGATAATTGACACTGCTGTGTTATATCCAAAGCACAAGACATCACCTAAATTCAGATTTCCTCTCAAATACTTAACTTTCAAGTATTTAGGCAGAACTATTCAATCTGGAGAACACGACAGTAGTGAGGACTCTCTAGCAGCTATTGATGTGGTCAAATACTTCATAAATCAAGATTCATAGTTAGTGCGACGCACAATATTGAACACTGGTTGCAAAATATACGTTCTTTTACTAAAATTAAATAAAATATTGTTGTCATTAAAAAGATTGTTTCGAATATTTCCTAGATCTTAAGTATTTTAGATAAAGAAGGTTCCAAAGCATAATTATGAAAGTTTGACAAGTAAATATATCACTATCATACTTTTTATAGCATAATCATTTATCAACTATTACTAACTGTAACTCGTAGAAATCCTTTTTTAGCTTGCAATATTGAAGGTACTTACTATATAATATTGGGGAAATCAAGTATGCGAGGTCAATTATGACAGACTTTTATTCTTTTAGAGAATGTGATGCGATCAATCTTTTTGCAATCTGTGCGATGATCAAGTGATTATGTATAACTCCCCCACACATTGCTACGGTGATAAAAATAGAATATCCTTTTTCGATTTTACTAAGATAAGTACCCAAGATAAGGATATGTCATTGAAAGTAGTTATTTTGATCGGAGGTGAAACCACTGGTACAAGGTTTAGGCCTTTGTCAATGGATACACCCAAGGTATTATTTCCAGTTGCTGGCAAACCGTTGATAAGCCATATAGTTCAAAAGATAGCAGAGTTAGAAGTAAATGGACTAATTGATGTATTTCTCCTTGGATATTTTACAGATTTGAAGCCATTTGAGGACTATATTGCAGAAACTAAGAAAGAGTTTTCTAACTTGAATATAAAATACTTGACAGAACCATATTCTATGGGAACCGGAGGAGGACTTTATTATTTTAGAGATGAAATATTTGGTGATGGCACCTGCAAGAAATTATTAGTTATTCATGGAGATGTCGTGTGCAACTATCCTTTCAAAGAATTAATCCAATTCTATGAGAATAGCAATGCAGATTCTGTGATCTTGGGTATCAATCCGTTACTTCTCATGAATAATTATCAGAACAAGACACAAATACAGAACCACACTTCGTTCAAGGTATACGATAATGTTGATACTTTTAGTAAATATGGTACAATAATTGCAACTAAGTCGGACTCAAAGGTTGTTCATTATGTTGAAAAGCCTTCTTCCAAATTCTCAGAATTTCAATTGCAAACAGAGTATAACACACTAATTAATGGAGGAGTATATGTTTTTGACAAGTCTATATTAGAATTTCTTGCAAAGTCCCAAAATCATAAATCTTTAAAGTGTAAAGAATACGATAGACACAATCTAGACAATGAATCTATTAATTCCAATGTTCTCTCACTCGAATTGGATGTATTGAAGTTCTTGCCTGAAGCTAAAAATAAGTTTTTGACTTATAAATCAGATAGTTTCTGGTACCAATTGAAAACCCCCATTTCTGCTCTATTTGCAAATATCTTTTTATTAGAAGAATGCAAGAAAAATGCTGCTTATAACGATTTAGAAGAAGCTTCGGATAAGATAATTTCCCCGGTTAGAGCTTCTAAATTTTTAACAACTTCAGAGAATTGTAAAATAGGACCAAATGTATCACTAGGTAAAAATGTTACAATTGGAAATGGTGTTAGAATTAAAAATAGTATTATCTCAGATAATGTTACAATCGGGGATAATTCGTTTGTTGCAAATGCTATCATTTCTAAAGGGGTTAAGATTGGAAGGTGGTGTCGTATTGAAGGTACATTTACTAATGACACAATAAGCAAGGATATTAATCAAGTCAAGTCTGACGGTTATTTTAAGCTTATCAACAATATAGTGGTTTTATGTCAGAATACAGTTGTGAGCAATCAGGTTTTTGTCTACAATTCGATTGTTTTACCGCATAAGGAATTAAGAGATGATGTGAAATACGAAATTATCATGTAATGAATGAGTTGATATTGCTCAAGGCAAATGAAGCCATTAGCGTAATAGCTTTTAAAGTGCTGTCTTAAAATTTAAGATTGGGTAGATTTGATCAAAGTATTTCAATTTTATTTGCAAAACATATATTCTAAATCTATGATTATGATTACTAAGGAGTATTCTTACTTTGTTTTTGTACGAATAACATCTTGATTTCAAATATAAGATTTAATTGTAGAATTGTAGAATTATGTAAGAAAACAATAATAAAATTGTGGTATTAGTTTTGGAATTTTTGCTTGGTGTATAGATGCAAAAAAAAAATCAATTGCAACAAGACGCGATCTGCACCCAAAACGCGATTAAGGTGTTTTGATAATGAAATCAAATAGATTTTAACAATCCTTATTCTAGAAGTATCTTTTTATTAAACTTTCTTTAGACAACCTGAACATGTCACTGAAGCTAAGAAAGCCATCAACCCCAAATAAGAATGGAAACAAAATAAATGGACCTTCTTCAGGAAGTGGCTCCAAAAAGAAGCAACTGTCTCTTATGTCATTCTTCAAGCCTGCTACTAAACCTGGGCAAGAATCTTCACCATTAAAAAGTAAAATTAACAATGAAGTTAAGGATGGAAGCGATAAAGAGAATGAGAATAGTATGCTAGAAGATACCCAATTAACAGATACACCTTTAACTTCCGAAACTAGTGCCGCCGTGGATACGACATGTAAAATTTCAAATCCAGAATTCCCAAAGTCTTCACCAGTTAAGGAAGAGAAGCAACAAGAAATCCCTAAAAAACCATTATCTGACTCCTCAAATAATGCTGTCCTTAATTCGAGCCCAGTCTCGAAACGTCGCCCTAACAAATCCATTAGCTATGCGGGATCAGATGTTGAAGAGGATACTAATATCTCTAGTGTATCCCGCAAAAGAAGAAAGATAGTGGAAAGTGATGATGATGAAGACGAATTTAATCTGGAAGATGTGGAAGACGATCAAGATGATGATATGAGTGATTTTATTGCGGATGATAACGAAGAGAGTGAAATAGAAAATGGTGATGACGACGATGAAGACGTAGTAGAAGAAGAAGAGATCGCTATAAGAAAATCGAAAAAGAAAAGCAAAACTGTTGCAAAATCAGAAGTAAAAGAAGGTAATGTGGACTCCGTATCACCTGATAGAAGTTCATTAGGCAGCAAGTTTAAAGCGAATTCTTCTTATATCGCATCGTCAAATTCATTACCGAAGCCAAAAGTTTCAAGTCCATCTTCCACAACAATCAAGAATAATAAATTTTCAAAAGAAAACGAAGAAAGGTATCAATGGTTGGTTAATATTAAGGATGCCGAAAAGAGAACACCTGATGATCCTAATTATGATTCAAGAACGTTGTTTGTTCCTTCATCAGCGTGGTCAAAATTTACTGCTTTTGAGAAACAATACTGGGAGATTAAATCTAAAATGTGGGATACAGTTGTTTTCTTTAAGAAAGGAAAATTTTATGAATTATACGAAAATGATGCAATGATTGCAAATTCTCAATTTGATCTAAAAATTGCAGGTGGTGGCAGAGCCAATATGAAATTAGCAGGAATTCCAGAGATGTCTTTTGACTACTGGGCTAAGGAATTTATCAATCTGGGCTACAAAGTTGCTCGTGTGGATCAAAAGGAGACACTATTGGCGAAAGAAATGCGAGGAGGCTCGACTAAGGAAGAAAAGATTATTAAAAGAGAATTAACAGGAGTATTGACAGGGGGAACTTTGACAGATTTAAATATGATTAGTGATGATATGTCCATTTATTGTTTGAGTATAAAAGAAGAACAGTTAGATGATGGTAGCAAAGTCTTCGGTATTGCTTTCGTTGATACTGCAACATCCGAATTAAATTTAATTGAATTTTCTGATGATAATGAATGCACCAAGTTGGATACTCTCATCACTCAGATTAGACCTAAGGAAGTTTTATGTGAAAAAAATAATTTATGTTCCATTGCTAATAAGATCTTGAAATTTAATGCACACAATTCTAACCAAATTTGGAATAACTTAAATCCAATTTCTGAATTTTGGGATTATGATTCAACCTTAGAAAATTTGGTTAAGAGTAAATACTATGAAGCTGAAGATTTAGATGATTATTCTCATTTTCCTAAGATTTTAGTTAACTTCAAAGATAATCATAAATGTGCATTCAATGCATTTGGAGGTTTATTATATTATTTGAAGTCATTGAAATTGGATGAAAGTATCATGACTTTAGGCAACATTGATGAATACGTTATTTCAAAAATACTTCTAAACATTTAATTTTAGATGGTGTTACATTGAACAATTTGGAAATTTTGAATAATTCATTCGATGGTGGTGAGAAGGGGACTTTATTTAAATTGGTGAATAGGGCAATTACCCCTTTTGGTAAAAGGATGTTAAAGCATTGGATTTTACATCCATTGATGAAAATCGATGACATCAATGAAAGATACGATTCTATAGACTATTTAATGGGTGAAGGCTCAAAATTCAGAGAAATATTGGAACAAGCATTCAATGGTTTGCCTGATTTAGAAAGGCTCTTGGCAAGAATTCACAGTAAAACTTTGAGATTTAAAGATTTCTTGAGAGTTGTTGAAAGTTTCGAAAAAATTTCAAAATTAATCGTTGATGTTCGTGACTTTTCAGACAGAGAAACAGGGTCGTTACATAAGTTTGTGAATAATTTTCCAGTGGAACTAGAAAGTTCTATCAACGAATGGGATGACGCCTTTGATAGACAAGAAGCAATGCGTGATATTGTCGTACCTATGAAGGGAATTGATAATGAGTTTGATGAGTCCCATGCCAAAATCAACGCTCTTGAAGGTGAATTGAATGAGCATTTAATGGTGTACAAGAAACAGTATAAATCCAATGAAATTTGTTATAAAGATTCTGGTAAGGAAATATTTTTAATTGAAGTACCAAACAAGATAAAAAATATACCTAAGGATTGGCAACAAATGGGATCGACATCGAAGGTCAAAAGATTTTGGTCGCCAGAAGTCAGAAAATTGGTTAGGGAATTAATGGAGCAAAAGGAATTGCATAAAATGGTCTGTGAGACTTTGAAGTTCAGGATGTATGAAAAGTTCAATAAGCATTATTCAATTTGGATGTCAGCCATAAGGAATATTGCTAATATTGACTGCTTGATTGCATTGACGAAAGTTTCTGAATCTATCGGATATCCATCTTGTAGACCAGAGTTTGAGAAAGCAGACAAAGGATTGATTGAATTCAAGGAATTAAGACACCCTTGTTTTATTGGAACAAAGGACTTTATACCCAATGACATTTGCTTAGGAGGCTCAGAGCCAAATTTTGGACTTCTTACTGGTGCAAATGCCGCTGGAAAATCTACAATAATGAGAACAACTGCGTTAGCAATTATATTGAGTCAAATAGGGTGCTATGTTCCAGCTTCTCTGGCAAGATTGAACCCAATCGATAGAATTATGACAAGATTAGGGGCCAATGATAATATAATGCAGGGCAAATCCACGTTCTTCGTTGAGTTATCAGAAACTAAGAAAATTTTAAGTAATGCTACTCCTAACTCATTGGTTATCTTAGATGAATTAGGTAGAGGTGGTTCTTCTAGTGACGGTTATTCAATTGCTGAATCTGTTCTATATCAATTGGCAACTCATATTCAATCATTAGGCTTTTTTGCAACTCATTATGGATCTTTAGGATTATCCTTTAGAAATCACCCTCAAATTAAGCCTTTGAGAATGGCAATTTTAATTGATGATCATTCTAGAAACATCACCTTTTTATATAAATTAGAACAAGGTGCCGCTCCTGGATCCTTTGGTATGAATGTAGCATCTATGTGCGGCATTTCTAATGAAATAGTTGACAAGGCCGAAATCGCAGCTAAAGAATATGAACAAACTTCAAGAATTAAGAGACAGAATGATATAAGTAATTCCAATCTTAATAATATGAGTTTAGGGTTACAGAGTGATTTTGTCTGGCTAGTTAACAATTACAAAAAGTTATCTGAGGATATTTTGGATTATGATGAATCGGTAAAACAAAATGCTTTGAATAACATCTTTAGTATGGTAGAGAATCTATAATTCGCGCTCACATTTAGACGAATCTCAATTTTATTAATTGCCATTATATACATCAAATACTTCAAATAAAATAAGTTAAATTAAAAATAGAGATCCAAACAGTATGATTGCCAGATTAGGATTAAACACTACAGCACCATACCACTTTTTATTCTACTCCATTGTTTTTGGAGGTTCTGTGTTCCACTCATTCATCGTCTCTCCAATTGCGTTCAAGCATTTATCCAGACCAGAATTCAGTAATCTTCAGAATAAGGTCTTTCCAACTTATTTTCTTGGACAAGCGTTGTCACCTTTAGTATTAGGTTTAACAACACCATTAAAGTTATGTCCATTCACATTTGGATTATTGGCTTTATCAAGTGCTACCGGTGCCCTTAACTACTTTGTTTTATTACCATGGTGCCAACAAATTAAAGACCAGAGAAATAAATTAGTTAGCGAAAAGTTACACGAAGTTATTGAAGATGGTGAAGTAAAGCCTTCTAAAGAGATGGTTAAATTAAACAAGCAATTCGGTAAATACCATGGTATTTCTTCTTTGGTTAATATGGTATCCATCCTTTCTCTCGGTGTTTATGGAATTGTTTTATCTAAGAGATTAGTTTGATAGCTACTGTATTTAAGTGAATGATGGAATGAACATTTGATGTTGATGAAATGGTGAAATCTTCTTGCGTATTAGATGCTACTTGTATATAGGCTACATTACTTTTGATTTTATATGATAATAATATGCTTTCGTTTGATACAACTGATAGAAAATAAAATTGCTACTTTGCTTGAAGTTATTCTTCTTTCTTACTATTAGGTATTCTATCCTGTTCTATTTCTTCCTTGTAAATTATTGGATAAAGAACAAATAACAAAACATACCCTAAAGTTAAAACATTTGCACCAAATATACCAAAGTAAGTAATTATCCACCAAATGGATAAGTATCGATTCATAATTAAACGTTTCATGATCCAAGCATAATGAAACAAAATTAAGATCATTACTATTGAACCAGATAGAGCAAACTTGAAATCTTTAATCGTTTTAGGCGAAAATTTTTCCTGAATCATTTCGATTGATAGAAATGAATGATTGGACCTCTTTGAATGTTCAATTGGAGATACTGGCGTAGAAGTAGACATAGCTGCAACCTTCGATAAGACACTTTTTGAATATGAATTTATTCAGTCTGCGACCGATGACAAAAAAAAAAGTAGATGAGAGACTCGCATCAAAACTGTAGTGATAGACATATTTATACTACTAAACGGATTTAGTTCTTGTACATTTTCCTTATTATTTGATTAAAGTTATTAGGATATATTATATAAATCAAAAGTAAGAAGTAAATTATATTATATTAATAATAAATAGATAAATAAATAAATAATAATTCAATAATTATATGAATAACTTTTTCTTGTGCAAATAAATAATCATTAATAACCTTCAAGGATAATTCCTTCATCACTTTTTAAGAAAGAACTTTAGATTCATTGTCAATTAAAAATTTTCTAATTTGTGATAAGCTGCCACTTAACTTTTTAAAGATACAAACTTTAATATTTGTATCGTATATAAAACCCAATAATAATTCACCAATTTTTAAAATGTATAATGTTTTTTCTAGACTATAATTGTATTCATTCGATAAATTGTTTCCATGTAATGGACCAAATTCACCATTATTATTTCCATTTGAGTATAAATATAAGTTGGTAAATTGATTCTCTAATTTAAGATTTTGATATTTATTCTTTAAGAAGTTTTCAATTTTACCTAGTATCATCAAAACGGTATTAAACCTTTGGTTTAATTCTGACTTTAAAGTACTGTTAATTTCATTGTCATTATTTTTCCTTATCAAGTGAATTGAAAAAACAGACAAAATGGAAAATACATGGAATAGCATTTGCAAATGAATAGAGTTTTTAGAGATATCAAATTCACCATCATATACCTTAATATCGATTAGTTTCTCGAAAACAGTAGATGTACTTTCATATTCATTAATCAAGCTTCTATTGCTAGTTGGATCATGCATGAATTTCAAATCCATATGAGTGTCAAACGCAGAGCTGTTAGAATTATTACTCTCAGTTTTGAACAAGACCAATTTAACGATTATGATGCAACAATCAACAATTCTAAGGTAATCATAATCACTGATCTCATGTATGGTACTCAAAAAACTATTAAAATTAGAAGTTAATTCATCAAAATTTCTTAGCCAACTTTGTTCCTTGACGTACTTGAAATCAATCAATGAGGTAACTTTTACAAAATTTACTAATAATGCAAAATCTAATTTTTGTTTTTCAAAATCAGCAGTTGATTTAGAGTGGAATGACTCACTAATACTTTGATTACCATTGATGTTTTCATTTGCGATTGGGAATGTGAAGTTAGGTGATCCGATATAGCTCGTTAAATTATCTAGTACCGCAAAAACATCCATGTTCTGTAAATCTGGATATTGTTTACTCTCATAAATTCCGTTGACTATCGACACAAATCCAAATTGACTTAAATTATTTAGCTTCTCACTTAAGACATCGTCCAAGCCATTATGAACATCCGCCTTAGTAATTTGGTACAAGATCTCCCTGAACACCATTTTATTTCCATTTGGATTTAAGTAGTCATTTAAGGTTTTATTTGTATGATTATTTTGGTTGTATTCTTGGAAAGATTGATAATTTTTAAAGCTCCATAAGAATTCATCCTTTCTAGTAGGAGCTTCCAATAACCCTAGATCATTGATACTCAATGTCAAGGGGACATTATACATCATTAATAAGAAATTTGTCAATCTATAGATCATGAAAACTATTCTTGTTTGCGATTGAATATTGATGATATTTTTGAATTTGATTTCGTCATTGATATTGAACGATGTTGTTGAAAATAAAGAATCATTCTGTAAGAAATCATTCGATTTGATTTCATTCATCTTATTGTAAATATCCTCATCTTCACCATTGATCGAAAACAATACAGTCCTATTACTCTTTATGGACGTTTTAACCAAGGAATTTAATGCGTTCAATTGCCTTATCACAATGTACACATTATTTTCATTATCGGAGAATAATCCGTAAATTACCGATAGGGTCAACGACTGGATTAACCATAGTGGATTTGTAGATTGTGGAGTTGAGCTAAGCCCCGAGTTTGAAGTAGCCTCATTAACAGAATTTTTTCTACTTTCTAAATAGATATGAATCGTTCTCCTCGAAGCTTCATATAAATGTTCAGAATCATTCTTATTATTGGCTAACAATGCACCAATTGTAGCTGTCAATAAAGGCAAACAAACCCTAGCGCTTTCATTTGATAAATCTTCATTAGAAGTCATGCTCATAATTTCATACTCATTTAATTTTGAAATATGTATAAATGGAAAATGTGACAAGAAGATATTAACAAAATTGTTAGTATAGAATTCCAATTTTTCATTTGAGGGAATAGTTGGTGTCATTATACCATTGATTGGATATTTACTCAAAGACTTATTGATCATATATCTGATATTATTGGTAAATAATTTATTCTTAGAATAATTACCGGCTTTAAAAGAGTTCCTTCTCTTTTTAGTATGATCAAAGTTCATTAAATGGGATTGATTTAAATAATTATGGTCACTTATAGGTTGTTGATGAATCAGATGTGGTTGTGGTTGTGGTAATGATGTTTCTGATTGATATTGACTTTGCGAAACTGATGGAGATATCATTTGTGGTGAATTAGTTTCCATGCCACTAGACGATACAGAATTATTATCACCATAAAATGAATAACCATTAGGCATAAATTTAGCATTTACATCAAATTCGTTCGTTAATTCTCCTATATCATTTAAGAAATTCAAATCAAAATTCTGGCTACCTCCTTGATGATTATTGTTGTTTTCGTTGATATTATTATTATTATTATTATTATTATTATTATTGACATTATCTTCAGAGAGACTAGGGTTGCGTTTGAAGCCATTGGTATTAGTGTGATTGGTATTATTTTCGTGATTCATGCTTGTCATTGTCATTTCGTCATCTTCCTGTTTAATGGGTGTGAGGTGGTTAGATAATTTGAAATGGTTTCCTGAATTTGCCATCATTGATTCCGGTATATCGTAGAAGGAATACCCATATTCCTCGTTGTGTTGGTTGTTCATGTGATTATTGGTATTGGCCGAATTAAAAGGAGTTATCTCATTATTTGAAACAGTCGCACTGGGCATCATATACTGTAAACCATTCAAAGAATCGTATGTATTATATGACGAGGTACTTGCTAAACTGTCTGATCTTAAAGTTGGTAGGTGTCCAGAAAATGATCCCTGATGTGATACACTTGCTGGCGCTTCATTATGGTCTAAAGAAATCGATGAGATTGAGCTTTGTCTTGGTAGTCTAGAGGTGCCCTTCGGACCGTTTAAATTGGCACCATTATGTACGCCATTGGGAGTACCATTTGCATGCGTACCATTAGTACTATTACTATTGTTATTATTGTCATTCATACCAGGAATTGTTGATAAGTTATTTAGCCATGCGTGTTCATCTGGGGCGCCGGTGGGATATAACTGGGGAGTCGAAAATTCAACATGGTCGGTGCCGGGATAAAGATCGTTAAGCTCAGCTAAACCCATAGCGTAGTTTCCACCAGACTGGGCTGAGAACGATGCACCTCTATGTTTATCTATTTTTCTTCTATCGAAAATCTGTTTCTGCAACGAGCTAGTCGTACCGTCCTTAGCACCTGAATTGCTTGCAGACTTCGACATCAGCGATCCTTTGTGGTTGAATAGGTTAAGGTTGAACAGCACAAGATCGAAATCACCATGAGACCCTGAAGGTTGGTGTGCAAGTGGTGACTGCGATGGGTGGCCGCTCGATGGATTGGTGCTCCCCGGAGACCCAGCGTCCTTCACTGGACCTGGTGTCCCCGACACCATATCGTCATCCATGTCATCACCTACCGATCCCGACCGCTTGATCGACTTCCTGCGTAATCTGGTGATAGCGTCAGCACATCCGGCGTGCAACTTCTGCGCGTGTCTCAACAACAAGTCTCTCCTGGAAAATTTCCGCTGGCATACACCACAGCTGAATGGCTTCTCCTTCGTGTGCGATCTCTCGTGTCGTCTCAAATGTTCCAACCTGGCAAACGCCCGCGTACATATCTGACACACAAATAGCCGGGGTTTTCCTGACGGTGTGGTCCCATACGCTGTGAGCTCCAAAGGTATGCTCTTCTGTTTCTTATTAGCCCCTGCTTGCCCTCCTCCGTTGCCTGTACCCTCGGCTCCACTATCACCCTCCAACTTATCTATCTTATTGGAAAATTCCATCGACAATGTAGCGTTATTTTGCTGAACCTGAGAATGCATGTATAAACTTCTCCAGGTATAATTCCAAAATCAAGTTTTGCAAGCGTTAAATGACTGTGTCAACTACTATGCCTTCCGAATATACTCTATGGTTGATTGATTGAACCAGTTTTCATAAATTGATTCACTCCCTAGATACTGCCCAATATATGGTCTGGCGCTTAATTAATATGAAAGAGCCAACAAATTGTTTAAACGAGAATCCAAAATGGCCCCCAGCCTAACCTGCAAACCACCAGTAGGTGGCCAATCCTGGGCTCTTCGGATAACCTGTAAATAAGCCCGAAATTACTCACTTGAGTTTTTGTGGGGTGCATCTTATCTGAAAGGATGATTGAAAGTGGAGTAAAGACGGACAGCGGTGTGTACTGGCTGGTCCCGGTTTCACCGGTGGTCTGACGTCAGCGGGCCGCATGAGCGGCCGACACCGAGAACCCGTGTCGGTGTGTCGATGCGTCGAGAATGTCGCAGGGCCAATGTCGCAGCCCAACGGTTCATCGCACGTAGTGTCGTACTGTGGCAAGACAAACACAGAAGAGTTCTCTGTCTCTATTGCGAGAACACGTGACTTTTGTCTTCTAGTATGGAAATTTCTATCAGAAATTGTACATCGAACAGTGAGTAAGCAAGATATTAGCATATCTAGATACGACACCAGGATGTCAGTGATAGAAATAGAGTCGGAAAGCCAGTTCACAGAGTTGACCAAATCAGATGCGAGCAAGTTGATTGCGTTGTATTTCCATACGCCGTGGGCAGGACCGTGCCAGACGATGAACTCAGTGTTTAAGACGTTGGCAGAGGCCAACGAGTCAGTTTTGTTTATATCTATCAATGCCGACGACCACCCTGACATAAGTGAGCTTTTTGAGGTTTCGGCTGTGCCATATTTCATATTGATTCGTAACTCGACCATTTTGAAGGAGTTGTCGGGCGCAGACCCAAGGGAGTTTATAAATGCGTTGAACCAGTTCACAGAGAAGAAGGGTACCGGTGCACCAGCAGCAGCACCAGCTGCCGCTGCACCACAGGTGCCAGCTCAAGCTCCAGTCGAAGAATCTCCAGAGGCGTTGAACGAGAGATTGAAGAAATTGACGGGTGCAGCCCCAGTGATGCTTTTCATGAAGGGATCGCCATCGGCTCCACAATGTGGATTCTCGAGACAACTTGTGGCGATCTTGAGAGAACACCAGGTCAGATTTGGCTTTTTCGATATCTTGAAGGACGACTCGGTCAGACAGGGCCTCAAGAGTTTTTCCGATTGGCCAACGTTCCCTCAATTATATATCAACGGAGAGTTCCAAGGGGGGCTTGACATCGTCAAGGAATCGATCGAGGAAGATTCCAGCTTTTTCGAGAATGCGGTTAAAAGTACTTAGGTATTTATCTTAATATATAACGTGTATTATTACATGCTAGTAGTTTTTGGACAGGATGAGTTGGTCTAGCTCTGGATCGGACAGGAATTCATCATCGGATTCCAATTTGAGTGTTTGGCTTCTGGATTGCGTTACCAATCTGTGAATTTGGATTTCGTCTATGGAGTCGTTAAATATCTCGTCATCAGAGTCGATGTCCGTTTCCACAGGATCGCTCATTATTTCTTCATCTTCTTGTGCTGTTTTATTTTTATCTTCAATATCGACTTGGAATTGGTCCCTTGAATGCAGACTGGCTGTATCTTCTTCCAATACAGGCAAGTCTCCATCAGATATGATTTGTTTGAACAGTCCACCGAGTCTTCCATATTTCAATTTATTATGTCGTTGCTTGTTATAAATGAGCGGCAAATAATAACCATCGATTAAATTCAAATCATTAAATGAATTTCGGCATTCATTGATTACACTTCGATAAATATTAATCTCTCGCTTTGTTTTGTTGTACTCCTTTATCATTTTAAAGTGCCGGGGAAACTTTACATTCATTCGTTGGGATTGGCGCCCCCTGACCTTCCGTAATTGATTTCGAGTGCATCGTATACCTGTTTCCTTACCTTCGTCGAAGTTATTCAAAATGTCACTTATACTTAAATTATCGGTGATTTCGCTTGCAATATCTAACTCATAATTCAGATCGTTGTATATATGATAATTTTCCAATATAGACAAGTTTAATAGTGAATTATTTCCATAATTATCTAATACGGTCTTTATAGATAAATAATCCGATTCTTCTTCATCTAAATCTCGAAATTTAGAACTTGAATATATCACTTTTCCTATGGCGTGAAATAAGTTTAGTTGGTTTTCTCGTAAAGAGTTGAAAATCTCCCCCCGCCCTGTCTTAGATAACCCAGACCAGAATTGTAAATTAGATATCGCCGATCTTATATCTCCACTTTCAATTATGTGACTTAAGAAGTCATTAATACTATTTCTCGCAATACCTTTAAATACGGTTTTCTCCTGGTTTATTATTTTATTTATTGACTTCTTCATAAATGAAGCTGCAATAGAATTGAATTTAATTTGCTTGACCTTACCATGTTGACTTAAAAACTCCCTACCTAATAAAGTGTCTACAGTTAGGTTATTTTCAATATTAAAATAATCTTGATTTCTTTGTTCGTATGTCAATTCTATTTCGGTAAGACATAGTACTAACGGTGGTAATTGGTAATCTGTATTAACCCATTCATTTAGATCACTTCGAAACTTCGACAATGTGTCTGTATGGAATATATTTGGTAGATCTTCTATAAGTATTATGGATAAATTTGGCCCCGTTCTATATCTTGCATCTTTCAAGAATTCGCTAAATTGTTTGGATTGCGGTGTATCACTAACTATTGTATCAATATACTCAATGCAATTATCATGTGGTATACTTTCTTGCCTTGTCATATATGACTCAAAGTTACTACCTGTTGTTGAACGAGAAATTATCTCATTTGCGAGTACTTTTACTGTGGTCGATTTAGAGCTTCCTGATGGTCCTGTAAGTATAAGCAATTTGGTACGATCCACCCCGGATATCATATTGGATAATGCTTCCTTAACTTCCTTTAATTTTCGTGGATTTATGCATATATCTTCGGATCTTGTAGGATTATACTTATCTATCCATTGCTGCTGAAAGATATCGGCACCAGTGTGCAATTTTGGTCTTTTTGAGGGAATGAATTCTTCAGACGTTTCAAATTCGCTTAAGCTTTCATCACTTACATCCTCAGTTTTAACTGGTTTATTATTATCATCCTTCCTCTCTCGTTTACGTTTATTGTACATCAATATTGCCAGGTTTAAAGAGTGTTATCCTGGGCCTACTAATCATTTTGACATAACCTAAATCACGTGAGCATTCCTAAATAAATACATACTAGTTCTTAAAGGCTTCATTGGGTCTGAAATACGATACCCGTGTTTCTACTTCAGGCCGATGATAGAAGACACCTTGAGTCGGACCATGCGGTGGGTTATAGACAAACTGCTCTTTTGGTGTAAAGGGTACAAACAGATGACTAGGAGTATAATACCCGTTAGCTGGTGCGAACAGAGGTATCAGTGGTAGCACATTCGACATGCCTTTCACCTTTTTATTATCATGGTATAATATTCCACTATCAGATTTTCTTTTTGGATTCTTAATTATTATTGAAGCACGTTTACCTTTCTTTCTCTGAATATATTTCATATAATTTGAATCATTGGGTGTCGATGACTTTATGTTATCAGTATATCTAGCTACCTGATCTGTTGAACTCTTAGGCAAATTGTACCAGAAGATACTGCTGTTTTCGTCCATGAGTTCTTTGGGGGCGTTAAATTCCAATGTCAATACCTCTGTAATAAAATTATCTTCTTTAAACAAATGTAATTGTGAGTCTGTTTTAATACCTGTTATCTTTTCATCATCAACAGGATGCACATGCTCTTTTCTCTTCGGCTTAATTTTTGATTGCTTAACTTTTTTCAAGTTCCAGAAGTATGAATTATCAATTTCTTCGTTCGATCCCAATATTATATCCTCATAAGGTACTTCGATTCTTTCTTTTAGATGAGGATAAGAAACAACCTCTATAGTGTTTTCCCCAGTATTATTTGCGACCACATACCCACAATAAATCTCTTTAGATTGATGGGAAGTATCAGGTAAAGATACAGTAAATTGAACTAAAGAATCCTGCGGTATTCCCGAGATTTTAGATTCTTCTTCCATAGAATTTTTTTGTAACTTCTTTGATCTATGGTATTTACAAACAATGCTAGAATCTGATAAGTCATATAAACCCCCACCACCTAGGCCACATGAACCATGGAAGGCTCTCAAACATTTGGAGTGCTTGCATTGGAAACATGCCCCATGTGACGCCTTCTTATACTTCGGAGAATTAGCATCGCAAACCGCACACCTTAAATTCTTTTGCGCTGTTGATATTTGATCTAACCCTGCTACTATACCCTTTTGGTTATCTATAAAAAGTTCGTTAGTAAACATTTGAGCACATATCCTATGAACTTTGTATATTTTCAGCGTTTTCTTATCCTTTAAATCAGTCTCTAATAATTCAAATTGATCTGATTTCGTTAATTTTTTTGGTAAATTATTGGGGCATAAATAACACTCGTATTCAGGTTCCTTATTCAGTTGTATCACAGGATCTGACTTAATTTGTTTTTTACCCAAATGCTCCTTTTTGGTTTGTGATATTGTGTTTTTTTGTTCTTCATAATGATTATCACTATCTGACTCTATTTCCTCTTGGTTTTGCGCATATTCATACGGGATGCCTTTATACTTGCAGTATAATTGATGAACATTAATACCTACCGAGTCGCTTATACATTCACATTTCTTAGTTATTTCTCCATACGGAAACCAGTCATCTAGAGCAAAGTTAACAGATTCCGCCAAATTATACCCATAGTTAAAGCCTGCATGATAACCATAGGGGTATGTTATTATAAATTCTCCTTCATTATGTATTATGTGATTACAATTTATCCCATTCTTTGCTAAAAACTGGGGTGACACGAGAAACGTCTTATGTCTTAAGAATTCCAGACAATTTCTATACTCTTCAGGGAATGTGTCTTTCATTAGTTCAAAAAACTTTCCCGAATCTGCCTGCGAAATAGAATACCATTGCTTTGGAGAACCAAAGTGTAAGTAGTTGATGGAATATAAATCTTGATCCTCTAGATGCCAAGCAAATGTGGCTTTCCACAAACCAGCATATAAATACGCATCGTTGACACCTGGTAGCTTTGCATCCATCAAATCCAAAATATTTGGTAAATGTGCTACATTCCAACTCTTAACAGAATCTGAAAATAACGACCCTATCAGATCAGCTCCATACATTGGTTCCGCGTATGTAAGTGACTTCCAATATGTTTTTTCTAACTGCTCACACCTATCTACCGTAAATTGGCTTGTATCGATATTATAAGAGTTCTTTGTCTGCAGCAGGTCTATGTCCGATTTTGCATTCATTTTTGGTACGTCCTTAGCATCTCCGGCACGCTCTGATGCACCAACTGTACGAGGAGGTACTCGTGGTTTACCCTTTGGGGCTGGAGGTTGAAAATTAGACTTTTCAGATAACTCTTTCCATTGATATATGTTGTAGGTTCGCGGTCTTTCGATGTTCTGCTGTGAGTAGATACCAACTCCAGAACCATTAATGTGCTGAACTATTGGATTCTTGATTTTAATCGACTCCAAGCTCTCATGAGTGTAATTCAGTGATAACGTATCTGACCATGATTTTGGGGGTATTATTTTTACTATTCCTGATTGCATACCATACTTGTTAATTGCCTTATTAAATTTGTAGAAATCTTGAAATTGTCTTTTTGTAGGCTTGAAGATTGGAATTCCACCAGAATAATGATCCGGCTCTACTACTAGGGATGGATCACTTTCATATGTACCTTCCATATTTACGTTTTATCTCTTGAAAGTATAATGAGTTGCAATATCGTCTGATCTTTTAATATTGTTCTTTAGAATGAATTCCATATGACCGGGTTTCGGTATTACCCTCGAAATAACCGGAAATCAGCTTCTCGAATTTATTTCAGAATTATATCAAACAAGTATACCGAAAAGAGTGGAAAAGACAAGACAAATATACAAAATGGAACAACGTAGAAGGGTACAAAATAAAGCAAAATCGCAAAGAGTGCCAGATGAAGAGATATCTACTTCAAGGGTTATAAAAGCGCTCTTTCTTACCTTTCTTTCGCTCCTTTTAATTGTCCTTTGGGGTTATCATTCAGTTTGGGCTGTTAAGGTTGTGATTTACAAGACATATGGTAATTTGATTAATAACTTGGTATTTGGACCGGGTACTTTAATCGCCAATGGTGGATTAAGTGTCAAGTTTGTTACTTATTTGAATGAGATTCTATTAGACGATAAAATCGATGCAGATCATAAAAAGTATCTTTGAGGTTGAAATATCTATCTATTTATACAAATTCTATGTCAATAATACCTATAATATACTAGAGTCATTTTATATCCGTATATGCGATTCCTAATTCATCACAATATTTCTCCAATATTTCTGTTTCTAACCTGGCCCCTGCTGGTCCTGACGCTAACCAATCCTGCAATTTGTATAGATTTATTGGTTCAAAACTCATTATTTTATCAAGCCAGTATTGATTTTGTTTTAAATGGACGCTGATTCTATTATAAATGTTTGTTTTAATTGCATGTTGTGATGTAGTTATTGGCTTCTCCTGATCATCATTTAATTGGCTCTGATCTATTAATTTATTTGTCTCGGAAAGAATCTGAATCATTTTTTCTTTTCCTTTGACTGGCTTTAATCCCCATTCATGAAATCTTGCTTTCAAATCTTTTGTAGACATCTTGTGAAAATCATCATCAGATGCCTCCAACGCTTCAGAACGAATTAGGCCACGATGCTTTCTTTCAGAGTCAATTACGGAACCTGTGTCTGATTCATGCAACAATCCTAGAACATTGGAATTATCAACTTGGGGACTCGAAGGTACTTGCAATATTGAAGTGTCATGTTCATGTCGGGAATTTTTCCCTAGATTTATCAAATCATCTGTACCATCTATCTCTCTTGTAATTTCAATAACGCTTATACTGTTATCGTTTGCTTCTTCGTCTTCAGAATCACATATTTCGTTTTCCGAATCGAGGGGCAAGCGCTTGGTTTCAATTGTTCTGATCTTAAGCTTACTATTTTCACTCGATTCTTCAACTACATTTAACGCTCCGTCTACTAAAATTCGAGACGTGCGGTATATTTTACGTTTCTTATGAAATTGACGCGGTGGTATGGAAGAGAATATAGCTTCTTCTTCGCTATCTTCGAATGGATATTGCGAGGGAATTGGTTGTGCGGAAGAGTATCTGAATTTTGATTTGGCTGTAGAATAAGCAGATGATTTCTCAGAAACAATTGTCTCGTGTCTGGGCGTAGCACTGATTGATCGTATCAGAAGTGGCGAGCTATCATAATTCATTTGAAACGGAGATGCAATTATATTTTTACTTCTTGGAGTTCTCTTTGTTGGTGTCTTAAATACTTCTGTATCCTTTATGGGGGATGATATGATGACTTCTTCTTTTTCTTCTTTTTCGTCATTTTCTTCATAATGGGCCGTAAAATCTCCTTTTCTTTTGTCATCTGCTTCGTCCTGGTCAATCGAGCTAGATATTACTTCGATTGGAATTTCTTGCGTACCGTGTATAGAGTGAGACGCTTGGAATCTATCATCTGATATTCCGATCATATCTTTCGCAATTGATTCTTCTCTATGCGATTGAGCGAATGGGAAACTTTCAATTGACACTGCGGTTTCCACCGAATCCTGTTGACGAGAATAAATTTCATTGCCATTAAACCCAGGATCATAGATAGAATTTTTTACCTGAATCATTTGTCCTGATAAATGGCCAGTCTTGTTACTTGACTCATTTTTGTAAAGTGACTTTACTTTTATAGGGCTAGGCTCAGGCGATGAATCTAGAATCACATCTGATTCGCTATCAATTGTACCTTCAGATTTTGACGTGTTCATTACTTGTGATAATGTCATCACAAACGGATTTTCATTATCAGACTCTTCTAAATCATTTTGTAATATTGTATTCTCATTGATGATTTGTTCGGAAGTCAAGTCATACAACCACTTTAAGTCTTCATCTGTGAATTCTTTTTCTGGTGGAGCAGATGCCTGCGACCATATGCTACTATTATTTTTTGGACTCTCTGATGTTAGCCGAAATTGATCTTGTTGAATCTTATGCGTGATATATTTAAGGCTTTTCTTGGTTCTATTAGACAATTCTGGAAACCGTATCCTAATTTTTTTAATAATGTCCGTCCATTCATTCTTATTATATAAGATTTTTGATTCATGTTGTGTATCATGAGGGTCAGACTGTTCAACGTTCTTTTGTTCAATACTTTCAATTCTTTTCAAAATATCTCCTATCTTTTCCTTGTGGCCTGTAAAATACTGAAATATTGATAATTGAACATCCTTTTGCCCCTTGTTTGACTTCTTGAGTTCCTGGAACGATTTTCCTTTATTATAGGTCTCTTCCATTAGTGAAGTCAAGCTTTTAATTCGATTATTATCCCGCTTAGCCCTTCTTTTAGGTTTAGCGACACCTCTATCTTTAAAATTCATATTCTGAAGACTTTGCTTGTTATTCAGAGTAGTATCTATATTCTTAAACTTCTTCAATCCCTCAATCCTTTTTTTCATATTATCTTCTTCTTTACTGATTTCATCAAACTCTTCTAACCGTCCTTGCATTTGGGTGGAAGCAAAATCAGCACCATCCATGTTGTCTTCGGTTAATCGAGACATCTTAATGCTATGCAAATTTAGTCATAAAGTATTTTAAACGTTACTTTTAGATTTCTCCTGGAAGAGATAAGATCATCTATATGCGTTAAATATATGGTTTATTGACATTATTTACTACACAAATAAACGCGCACTCTATGTAAAATGCCTATGTTTCCGACCCAGTGCTTAGCTTTTCCTTCAATTCAGGTTTTACTATCCAGTTTCCACTTTTTTTATTATAAAAGGCTATATCTTGGATTGTGTGCTTTAATAATGCTTTCGTGAAGGTTTTGAATTCCTTCTTAGACAATTCTACCAAAGTACCAATAGTAAAATCATTGTTTTTCTCAATGAATTGAATTAATTCGTGAATAGCCTTAGGATCTTTAATAGTCGGCTTTTGCGGAGTTAAAATTTTAGGTGTCCTGCTATCATTCTTACTTGGACTTGCTCCTTGATCCTTCGTCTGACTTGTAGAATTGGTATTGGTAGCTTCAGAAGTATGTGAGTTGACTTTCTCTTTTTTCGATTCCCAATAATTAGCGAACGGATCTATTGAAAACTCAATATTTACATCCAATCTTTCGTACTTCAATTCATCGAAGAATTGGTAGTCATTCTTGTCGTCATTATTCCATTTACTTATCGCTACCAATGGACCCATTATTCTTTTTTTCTTTTTCATTAAATCATTACTCTCCACAAAATCTTCCATCTCCTCTTCATCATCTATGTCTTCATCCTCATCGTCCTCATCGTCATTATCGATATCTTCGCCTTCACCTTCATCCTCTGCATCATCTCCATTCCACTCTGCATCAGAATCATAACTATAATCTAACCCTGACTTCGATGTATCAAACGGATTTCGTGCTGGAAATTTAGTCAGCACATGGGTTGCAGAGCACCATGTTCCAATATATGGAGGTTTAGTGTTCTCATAAAACTGTAAATATTTCATTGGCAGCAAATTTTGGAACATCTCGTAAATATGTGATTCAGTGGCTTGTGATGAGTTTAAAGCATTAACAATATCTTGCGGAGAGGTAAATTTTCTTTCGCTATGTTTGGGTTTGCTAGATTTAAAAAAGGTTGAAATATCCGAATTTTCATACTGATTATTTGAACATCTTACCATCGTGTCAAACTTATCAATCGATTTCTTTAGTTCAAAATCAGATAATTGTAATGGAGGAGCGATTATAACGTTTTTCTTTTGAAAAAATGGTAAGAAGACTTTATTGTATATATCTAGTTCTTCCTCTTTTTCTTTGCTTTCATGATTGTTTATGTCTATTATATTACTTTCAAGCTTATGCTCATTTTTTGTTGGGGAAGATTTAACAGTCTTACCTATTGTAAAAAAATTAGAAATTTTCATTTGACTTCTTTCTTTCAATTCTTCAGCCTTTCTTTTCTCTTCCTCAGCTAACTTTCTCTCATGCTCCTTCCGCTCCTTGAGCTCTTCATTCTTGCGCTTTTTTTCTAATCTTTGCTTTTCCCTCTCTTCTTTTTCAGATAGCTTTTTCAATCTCTCTTCTTCTTTCCTTTTTTCCCTTTCGAGCTTTTCTTCCTCTAGTTTTTTGCGTCTCATTTCTTTCTCCTTTTCCTTTTCGTAAGCCTTTCTCTTCCTCTCTTCTTCCTTTGCTATACGATCTTCCTCCTTTCTTAGTCTTTCTTCCTCCTTTTTCTTCTCTTTCTCGAGCCTTTCAATTTCTCTGTGTCTCTGTCTATCTAACTTTTCAATCTGCTTCTTAGTAAGTGCCTTAGTTGGCGATTTCACATTATCTTCATCAACCGGGGATGGAGTCGAATTCAAAGTGCCATCAGGGGTCGTTAATTTGGGCTTTTTGGCCTTGGGTGATTCTATATGTTTAGTTTCGTCTTCCTGGTTTCTTTTAGAAGGATTTACAATCTCAATAACATCATGATCCTGTAATGTCTTATCGGCCGGATCATTCATTTTATGCGTTGGAGTTAGCGACGGAGAATTATAAATTGGAAGCTGATTGCTCATTTAACCAACTGTTTTCTATTACTTCTCTTATATCTTATATCTAACGATACAATGAAATGTTTAAGACTAGTAAATTTTTCTATAGGTACGCGTCATATATCAACAAAAATTATTTGTCGCGATAATCCACAGTCCATACTAAATTGTGCAATTATACGATAATAATATGATGCACTTCTACAAATTTTGACAAATGAATCTAATAATATTAATATAATGTATAAAGATATAAATCCAATTTATTTATAACTCCGAGAAATGAAAAAAAAAAAGATCCCACTAAAAATACAAATGATATAAAAATGAAAATTGGTAAAATAAGGTTCCTAATAGTCAGGTATATCTAAATGGAAGTATGGAGTATTAGTGCCTACGGCAGCAAAGTATTCGTCATTTACACCTGATTCAATATCTTTTTTGTTTGAAGAAGTCGCAATGTTCACGTAAGTTGTATCACTCACTAAACCATCATCACTGTATGAACCAAAACCCGCATTCGTTAATCCTCTTCTAATCCATGGAGACAAAATACCTGAAAAATGAAATTCAACTTCTCTATCAGCATACAAATTTAAAGCTTTACGCAAATCAACTAAAGCCTGAATACTAGTTACATCAATCGAGGCAACTGTTGAAAAATCGAAATGAACAACCTTCAAGATTGGTCTTTCATCTTCTTGCTGAGTTTGCTCTTTAACATTCTTGTTTTTAAGGAATGGAATATTCCATCTTAATGGACCTGGATCATTCCAAGGTCTTGAGCCGGCATCATTATAGTTATATGGTTTTCCTCTTCTCGTTACGCGTTTGACTTCATCTGTAACCCTCTCAATTTGTAAAGATGCATTAGGATATGTGAACGTTTCAACTGGTTTATAAACAATAACTCCTGGTGGTGGAGGTCTGACGTGTAAGTCACTATTAATGTTTTCTTTGGATAAAGGAACCCATCTTGTGTGGAACTTGATGTTTGGATTGGTGTCGAGTAATTTATGAGTAGATGGCGTTGTAGTGACCAACTCTTTAGATTTGTATTTATTGGACGATGTTGACTGGTAATTTGATGTATTGCTCAAAACTTGATGGATTTCAATATCCTTAGAATCGTCGGAAGAATTGTTGTCACCGTTAATAGTCGAGTCATCCAGGTTGGAATTATCTATAACTGGATTGATAACTTCAGCAACTTGAATTCTACCCAAAAAGAAGCCTTGAGGTTTAGCAATGCGGAATAACAAGACAGCAACGGAGGCACAGATCGCGAAGTAAACTCCATTCTCGATAGAGGAAAAGACGGTAATAATAACCGCAACCAAGAAGATCCCACAATCCAAAGGACTAATCCTCCAGAAATTCCAAGTCACTTTGTAATTGGCAATCAAATCACAAACTGCATGAATAATAACCGCGGACAACACAGCCTTTGGAATATAGTAGAAGACACCTGTCAAACAGTATAAAGCTAACAAGACAACAGCACCTGTAAAAATACCAGCCAAAGGGGTTCTAACACCACATTTAGCCTTCAAAGCAGATCTTGAGAATGACCCAGTAGCAGGGTAGGCATTGAAGAAAGTACCAATTAAATTATTCACACCAATAGCAATTAATTCTTGATCAGGTACAACTTTATAGTCATTAACTCTTCCAAATGATTTTGAAATTGCGATATGCTCCAATAATAAAATAATAGTAGAAACCGGAATTTCAGAAGCCATCAGTGAGATAATATTGTCTGGTATAGTCATAACACCAACATGCTTCAATCCAGAAGGGACGACACCAATGGTGCTGATTGGAGGTTTGAAATCTGCAGAAGGACCATTAAATGCAATTTTCTTAGGATGAACGATACCCCATGAGATTGCAGTTGCCACAATTAAAACGATGGCATTTCTTAAATTTTGTGTGTAGAAAAACCAAAGCTTATACCTTGGCCATCTCTTTATGGCACCTTCAGTCGAGAATTTCCAAACAAACAAGATAAACAAAGAAATCAAACCAAATGCAGCATCCACCTTAGTATGTGGTAAGTTTTTTAATGTATTGATTACAACTTTATATGACGGATCTCTAGTATTGACCAATTTGTTGTATCCCATCAAACCTGGAACTTGTCCAACAATAATATTGAAGGCAGAGCCGGACATGAAACCCATAACTGCTGGAATAGAAATAAACTCCAAGATGAAACCTAATCTTAAAAGACCAATACCCGTAGCAATACCACCACAAATTAAAGACAAAAACGTAGCAATTTCAGCTGGTTCATATTTGTCTCCTACTTTGGATTGAACATGTTGAATAACCTTGCCGACTTGCATCGACATGACGGCAACTGGTCCAATAGAAACATCTTTTGAAGTTGCAAAGAATGAATATATGAAGACACCGACGAACGATGAATACAACCCGAACTCGGCCGACAAACCCGCTAACTGTGCGTATGACATAGATTGTGGAACTAAAACAACACCAACAGTGATACCTGCAATGAGATCACCGTAAAGCCATTTTCTATTATAATGCAAAATCCATCTGGCAATTGGGAATAATGAAATCAAGTAGTTTTGTATCTTTTGTAACGGGTTACCGAAGACATCTTGGCCCCAGTCAACCACTGTCACTTCTCTTTCATTATACAGAGGCACTAAAATATTGCTGTTCTTTATTTCATAGTTGTCTCCAGCATAATCGAAATCATGTTCTTGTGCTTCAGGATTATACTCCTGTATTTCTGGTACCTGTGATTCCGAAATCGACATTAATAATGCAGTCTATAAATGATATGTAACAAACAAATTTTATTTAAACAAAATGCAGAGGACTGTCTTACTCTTTATAAGACTTTAAAACCTTATCGATTCGACAAATTCACAATGAAACTTTTCAATTCGTTATTAGAAATAGTTCAACAGAGGTAGGTGTGGCTATTAAGCAACTACTTACTTAGCTGCAATTTTTTCACCGTATATTACTGTGGAAAATCCACAGTTGTTCAAAATCACGTGCCGCCTCCTTCAGATTGCAATGACTAACTAAAGCTTATTTTGCTAGATTACGGTATATACTTCGAGGTGATTGACTACATCAATTACATCTACAATCAGCTTTGTTTTCAAGTTGAAACCTTGTAATATGGGTTAGCCAGAACCATTTATTGTTGGCGAACCTTCTATTAGACTAAATATTCTGAAATCTGTTGATGCGATTGCAACCTTTCACGTGAAAAAACCTAAAATGTGCGCAGAAGGGTTACGTAATAATATTCTCTGATTCATGATCTATCAAACCACAATTTTTTAATTGATACCAAAGATGCACCGAAACTCAATGCATGAGACTTTGGTAATCTCCTCGTAATTCCACTCGCCTGCCACATACATGTGAGGCTGAAGCATATCTCTTGTTAAGAAGATGATTTACATAGTTACAAATCGTATAAATTTCGTAACTGTGTGCACGGATAGCAAAATTTATTGAGGATAAAGTACTCTATAGAGACGACGATACATAGAACATGTGTCAAAAGAGGAATTCCAGATACGCCGGAGGGCATTCTAATGAATCTAATTAATCTTTAACATTTTCAAGTTTTCTTCTTCAATTAAATCGACCAGCTTTCTGAATTCTTGTTGCTTGTAGCATTGTTCCAAGAAGATCTTGTACTTAGCGTTTAACAATCTACGGTCAGGATGACTTTCTTTACAAGGTAAAATAACCCTACCTGGACCAGTCATTTTTTCCATTACCTTCCACAATTTGTCGCCAGGTTGTGATTCACCTGTTGACTTCTTCTTATCGATAGTTGATAACGGTTTCAAGCCTAACTTGTTCAACTTTTGAGACAACCCTTGTTGGACTTTTTGCTTGGAGCCAAATGATAAGGTTTGCTCTTCTTCGGAGTCATCTTCATCTTCAGAATGAGCCCTTGCTGGCTTTTCTGAAGGCTGGTTGAAATAGTCAACGTTTTCTTCTCGAGTTGGTTCTAATTGTTGACTTCCTGGATTAGCATTAGCATACGCTAAGGCAGCAATGTTTGCAGTCGATGCTGTAGCAGTAGGTGCGGTATAAGGAGATGGAGGACTATCACCAGCAGTTAAATTGCTTTGTGACTTTTGGGTAGATAAAATTGAGGATCTTCTCGACTTACCTCTGCTATTGATATGTTCTTGAACAGCATCTTCTGATGCAACAGCACCTAATAATGCAGAGCCAAAGACAACAGCAGCATCAATATAACGAGGAATAACAATTGCTAAACCGGTACAATCAGCCAATAATCTCATCAACAAACCGTTACGACACTGACCACCACTCATGAAAATACAACTAATCTTATGACCAGATTTCTCCATTTCTTCAACGATCTGTCTTGTTTGTTGAGCAATAAATTCACACGCACCAAAATATTGAATAGCTAAATCATTAACAGAAGTATCCATAGATTGACCGATAATTGAAGCCTTCATTTTTGGATCAGCAATTGGAGATCTATTACCGTGGAAGTCACCGTAGAAGAACATGTGTTTAGCCAAACTGACAACGGATCTGCTATTTTGTTCACTAACCAAGTTTTCTAAAGTCGAATTCAAATAATCAAACTTAGAAATATTAGAGGCGTCTGCTAAGTGGGCCAATTCTGAATGGGCAGGATGATTTGACAAAACATGAGCCAATAACGCACCCGTACACGATTGTCCACCTTCGGCCAACCAGTATCCTGGTGCCATGACATCTTTATAAGGACCCCAAACACCTTGAACAAAGCATGGTTCCTTTGTCATAGCAATGTGACAGGTTGAAGTACCAGCAACAGCCGCTAATCTACCACAGGATGTTGCAATTGAGGTTTCACCTGGTTCTTGTAATTGTGGGATGTCAACTTTGGCCGCAACGGTACCAATCCAGCCAGCATATGCATCGATTACACCACTTCCAACAACACATTCAGTGCTTAAGCCTAATTCTTCCGCCGCCTTTTCACTCAATTTTCCAACAACATCACCAGCACTCAAGTAAGTACCGTTCTTGTTTGGAACACCTCCTAACCTACGGAAGTTATCTTCAACCAATTCATCTAAATCAACTGAATGTAAGAATTCCTCGGACCAACCTGTAGTGGAGTTATCAACTCCCAATGGAACAAAACCTTGCTTACATACAACAGAGCAGAAAGATCTTGCCTCGGAATCAGTGGCCTTATGAGTCAAGAAATCGGCCAAGTCGTAGAATTTGCAATCCTCGATTCCTCCTGGCAAGTTGTGTTTTAACCACTTGATCTTTGGCAATTCCATCTCAATGGACATTTGACCACCAACATACTTCAAACACTTGTCTCCAGTGGCATTAATTGTGTTTGTTTCGTCAACGGCCCTATGGTCCATCCATAAAATGATGTTCTCCTTATTGTCACTGAAATCAGGACCAACACCGACCGGTTCGTCTGTAGACTCACGAATAGCCACTAAAGAACACGTAGCGTCAAAACCTATACCAAAGACCTCACTTGGATCAACACCCGACTCCCTGATACAATTTTTGACACAGTAACAGATCGAATTCCAGATCTCAGTGGACGATTGTGTGATGTAATTAGGCTTCAATTCATGTCTGGTAATAGGCCTTTCACTTAATCCAAGAATTATACCGTTTGTATCAATGATACATGCTCTTGCCGACCCAGTACCAACGTCAACTCCAACGTAGTAAACATCTGGTTGTGGTGGCGGCTGATTGAAGAAGATCGACGATTTGCGGGATGCAAGACTAGTATGAGACTTTGATTGTGGTGGCATTTTGAATTCAATATTTCTTTAAATCCGTTTTAAACAACTAATTTCAGATAATCTTAACGAATTGTTAACTGTCAAAAGAATTAGGTGGTTATTCTGATATTTATACCTACTATTTTTATCTTACCGGTAATTTGATCATCGCTAAGCAATTATAACGTATCAAGCGTAGGCAGTATTGCTTAAGAGGGGGTGTATACCTGCATACAAGCTATCAATCTCAAATTTCATTATATTCAATAGGCCTATATCGACCTTGATATTAAAATACATATACTATACATGGGTGGCATACCAGAGCTGAATGCCGTACGAACGGCCAATATGGTAATTGTAGGTAGGAAACGTCCGCCCAGACGAATACAATGGGGGACGGAGAATTTTAATTCTCAGCTGGAGGATATTTATCAACGGTATCTACCAAAAAATCGAATTGTTCCGTATTTTCCACCGCCGATCTAATATGCGATGCACCAATCCTTCTTACGCCTGCTTTTTTGGCCTCAATAATCGATGCCTCCACAAGATTGGCCATGAAAATTTCTAATGCTCTACCTACAATCACTGGGGTGGCCTGAGCCACCTTACCTATATCTTCGTCCGACTGCATGATTTTCTTGATTCTGGCTGCAGGAAAGTGAGTTTTAATTTTTTCAAAACTTTCCAATATCACAGCTTGTGGTACCTTGCCATCATTGTTGGCATTCTCGCTGCCATTGGCTTCCTCTGGAGTTTCTATGCCCGAAGAATTGGTCAACGAAGGAGGGTTAATAAGGCTTTGTATGTCTGACATAATGTATTATGTAATGAATGGTGTAGCTTTTTTGTCCCTTGTAAAACTTGACGGAATTGTTACGGTTTAAATATACGATGATGAAACACCGAATAAGTCGTGTGAAAGATCAATTGGCCCTAGTGATGACAGGGCAGAAAAAGGAGCAACCAGGGAAGAGCGCGTGGGATTTTTATAGGAA